GGGTTGCCACTACTTATGCTGTTCGTGATTTTTTACCTGTTATCTTGTGCTGTGTTCAAATATTCCAAAGTGACAAAAAGAGAGAGTACCAATACTGCCACTCATTTTTCTGATTTACAAAAATTTTAGATGACCAAAAATATTAGATTCTACATGGTTGGTGGTAAAAAATTAAATTCATACACACATGCACACATAAACCAGAGACAATCCACTTCACTTTTAAAATACCACAGTCCTAATGGTAGCCCTACCAGCTAAGACTGGGACTTCACTTTTGAAATGATTTACATTCATTTACTTTTCACCCTCTTCAATGTTTTACTAAAGTAATCAATTAATATGAAATAAGCTTTCACAGAACTACCCAGTAGACAAAGGTGAAGAAGGGAACAAAAATCAGATTTTTTCTTTGTGGAATGCCAGACAGTGAAGTCTTGAAATCACACAGATATTCCCAAGTGTTGTAGTGCATGCCAAGATATACTGTACTACTGCCAGTCTTTTGTTCTTCACTTTATAAATAACAATACACATAACTGCATAAGCATTTATCATATTGTGACATAGTTAAGAAGTCACTTTACACCAGTTGCTCCAAATCACAATCGTTCCTGATTACTTTCTAGGCAAATTTCCACCTACCTACTGTACATCACTGCCACTGTTTCCCAGAAATTCTCATTGTCATGGGTCTCCTGATCTGCGTCTCTGATGGTAATCTTTCCAGATTTCAGCAAGAGGTCCCAACTCCTTATTATCAGCCTGCCAATGCATCTTTGCCATCAGCCATTTCACCAATCTTGTCTCCTGTTTCTCAGGCACAACCAGCTCCAACATAATTTGAGCATTACAGAGTGAAGGCCACATTTCTGGTTTGGAAGGAGGTTGGTTGAGTGAATGAGAAGATAGACAAGGTTAAGGTCTATTAACAATCTTAGGATCAATTGCAAGGCTGATCTTTCTGTCAGGGGACAGAACCAGAAAATGTTAGGACACCTGAGCCGGAGGTCGAATGTCAGATAGAACCAAAGCCAAGGAAGAACAAGGCTTGTTTATCGTGAATAGATAGCAAACTATCTAGAAACTCTAACTCTATCTAGAAACTAGAAACTCTCCTCCTGGATTTTTTTAAGGAAATGCAATACCGCTGGAGAATCCATTGCAGTTTAGTTAGATGGTTCAGCATTTGAAAATGGGAACTAATTATGGAAGATATAAAGTGAACAATGCAGGTGGTATGGTGTAGACGGAGTTGTCCAGAGGAGGCTGTCGAAAGAGAATGATGGGGATTATAGAGATGTTTCTCTAGTGGAATCATGGTAGCAGAGCCTAATCTTCAGTGAAGCAGAGAAACATGAGGAAATAAACCTTCAGTCTGTAATGCTCAAATGTGCCAGACCCTGCCTTTCTTCCATCCTTACAACCTCGTAATTCTGTCTTACCTTCGGCAATCCCTGGGATTCGGTGCTCAGTTTATGCTACACATTTTACCCCCTCAATAACTTTAGGAGTACATGCATATTATGTTGAATTCATCTTTATGTTTTGGAGACACCACAGTTGACAGTCTGTTACTGAAATCAGTGACATTAAACCCTTCTGGTTTGGAATCAGACTAGGGATCCTGGTTCTGATGTTCAAATTGTACATCATCATCAGCAGCTGATTTCTAATTGACTTGGACCGGGCTGTAAAAGATTGTACTTTCAATGAAAATTTCATATTTACACTCTCTGAAGTCTCTGAAAGACTTATATTTTACAGAACGAGCCTAAATAAAAAATGAAATTACAAAACATTTTTGTAATGTATCGGATCCGCACATGGACAACTCTGACACTGAATGGAAACTGAAGGACTTGTATTTTATAAGGAGAAACAAAATTAATCCCTGGGATTCGGTGCTCAGTTTATGCTTCACATTTTACCCCCTCAATAACTTTAGGAGTACATGCATATTATGTTGAATTCATCTTTATGTTTTGGAGACACTACTTTCTAATAATTTTTCCACTAAAGCTGTGGATTGTCTGTTCCACTGGAACCAACATTTCTACTCAGGAGTCGTGTATTTTAATCTGTGCTGCTTCATTTTCACTGGTGTCAGATCCTTCTCATGTGGCATTTGCTTCTCTTAAAATTGCACTTCACACCTCTGCCCTACCACTATCTCAATCATAATCCTTTCTCCTCCCCCTTTCCCTTTTGAATCAAGTAATGGGTATTCTTTCAACCTTGATTTTCCAGGATACTCTGTGGCCATCCCATCTTGTTTGCCAAAAGTAATTTATTCTGCAATAATTTCAATTCCTAACCCTGCTTTTTTTTGCCATGTCTTCCATATCAGTATTTTCTGTCACAGAGCTCCTTCTTCCATCACCACATAACTATCACTTAAAATTGCAAAGCACAACTCCCGTTGTGGCATTTATTTTTGGAAAACTAGAATATGCTACCCTTCTTTTCACAATTAAGATCTCTAGCTTTTTACAACTGTTAGCTTTGAAGGCTACTATCAAGATAATCTTTTCATTTAATTAACTAAAATGGCTCTCTCTTACTACCAATTTCTAATCATTGCAGGAAACATCCCAGGCTATATAAAAAGCATCACTAACAAACTCTGGATTCTTCATAAAACAGTTCCCTGGCCACTCATTTTGAATAGGCACAGCCTTCTCATCATTCCATCAAGACATTCCTAATTGTCTAATTAAGCATTTAAATCTTCAGTCATTATTCCTTGTGCTCACTCTTTACTGGAACATATAAAGCTTTTAGCGTTAACAGCGACAATGTTGTGTAAGTACAACTACTAATCAAACACACAGATCTTGAGGGAAACCCCTGTTGTTCTTGACCTTATAACTATCTTCACAACTAGTCACCAGGAAAAATATTCCAAATGTCATATTTATTAAGCAAAGACAAGTAAATCCAATATCAAACAACTAGAAGAAACAGCCGTTTATGGCATCAAAGAACCATTGTATCCTGTGGGTAAAGTGCAATAATCATGCCAGGAGCCTTTGAAGGAGCTGATCACAGCAAAATGACAAAGGACAACTGAAAAACGGTGATATTTTATCCACTGACACAGTATACATACTGAAGTAATGGAATGTTAGATCTGACACATGTGGCACATTCATTTTTTTTTCTTTTCAACAGTCTTTGTCCACTACAATATATTAATTTACAATGAAACACAATATTAAAGGCCAGTTTAGTAGAAAAATCATCTGTAGCTGTGTTTTGTGATGCACATAACCCTTTGGTATTTTGATAATGTAGCAACTCCTTTAAAAGTGTTAAAACCTGAAATTTGCAAGACAGGGGTCTGGACTATTGGGTAGGCTGAGTGCCCTGCAGTATGTTCTTTCAAGTTGTTGCTTCATGATCTGTATAGATAGTCACCAAATAAATGAACTTTCCTAATCAGCAAACCTGGAGTTTGGCCATATTTCATACTGGTTGTTTTCAGCATTTATGTATAAAGATTTGTTCTGTTATTTAGTACTACCTTTAGTAGTAGTTCATGACAATGCATAAACTTTTCCATGAACATAACACATTTCATCCACTGTAGGGTACAGATAAGCATGTTGTATTTGATCAAACTATGCTATGTTTTATTAATACCTGGTTTTGTACTGGTTTTTTGTAACGGGAAGGATGACTGGCAATGTTGCATAATCAGGTGAAGAGATTGCAGTTCTCTTGGCGTATTCATGCTTCATTAGAAGTTACTAAGGCGATAAAAGAGTGCAACCCATTCCACATTGTAACATTTCTCTGATTCAATGTAAAGAAATATATTTTGAGTTAATAGGTTAGCATTCAATAGAAATTAAAGTATAAAAATTCTAAAACTTTGTTGTATTGCAAATGTTCTTGTATGACCTTCTCGGAAGCTTAATGTTGACTGTCACAAATGAACTGACCTTCATGCATCACAAATGACAAGACCTTGGAGCATCGTTAAGGGCTTCAGTCTCTCTTTAAACCTCTTCACCCATTCATAGACATTTCATGCTTACATTTGTATATTTTAATATACAGTACAGTGATTTCTGAATATTAAGAAATAATATTGATACATCTATCAATACATATCCTTTTTTCATTTTTGATGCAGTATTGACCCAGTTGAATAAGAAAACCAAAGTTTTCTCTCACAGTAAGAGAATGAACATCCCTGGGATTCTGCATGTACTGTATAATGTTGATATTTTTACATAATAATTTACATAAAAGCTGAATATCCGCCTTTTTGGCGGCAGAGCTCTATTTGTGTGGGGTGTTTTTGAACTGTTATTTCCCCCGACATTATATTACAAAGCAAAAGCTACTTGTGTTACAGGAATATAACCCGTTTAATTTTTTGTTTATTCTGTGCTGTACTGTAAAGTACAGTATACAGTATCTAAAGATGGCCTAACCTGCTGTAGGTTCTGTCTCACCCTACGATACTGAGCGTATTTTAGCGGGGATTCAGAAAGAATGTGCTACACAGGCACTGATTCCAAATGTAGGGGGATGCATGCACGTTTGATTATGTCAGTTAAGTTAGAAAAGATAACCAAAGAGGTAGGTTATTCTCCAGTAGTTTCAAAAGGTACATTTTAAAAGACAAAACAAAATCTTCGCTACACACCAGAAAACCTTACACGCCTCAAAACAAAAACGTAACGCTTTCATTGTGGTTTTTAGCAACAGTCGTAGTAGGTTCTACCAAAAAACTGGGTGGCGTAGGGGAGCTGTAATAAAGCTACATCAGAGAAAAACAAAAAAGATGTAAAGCTCTTTTTTAGCGTCTATGAATTTTTTTATAAGAAAGCGAAGTTCGTAATCAAACGTTTGACCGGAAGGCATCCAAATATATTACATTATTAGTCATACACTTGCATAGGCAAATGAACGCCCCTACACAGTAACATCTTACTGTGTACAGCTGCGAGTTCTTCAGTAACCAGCAGAGCTCCGTACCTCAGCTTCCTTACCAGCAAGTGACAGTCCTTTAAATGACGGTGAGTGCATGTGCTGCTGCAGCGTTCTGATATCATACAAAAATCCAGTAGGTTATTGCGCTAAATCTAAAGGGAAAACGTACAGCCTACTTGTACAAAAAAACAGTATACATCTTGATGCGGCGTTAGGTAAGAAAGTAATATTTTTTAACTTAGTTTATGTGGCATTTTATGTGCATGATGAAATGGATGTGGCACATGGATGCCAGTCATATGTGACGGCAGGGCGGGGGATTAAATGTGTACGGTACTCCTTACTTGTATGTATGAATAAACCGTATACGTTTTCATTCATAACGGTAATTATATAACTCTTCAAAAATGTACCAGTATTCCTTGACAGAATAAATTAAGTAACATTTTCTATTGTTTGATGTTCATGCATTTATATAATAGGTACTGTAATATTATTTTAATACAGCGTATGGTAATTACTAAGGTGGCCTATTTTAAAAGCGGTCTTTCATATACAGTACTAATATATATATACAAACTAATGTATAGTATATACGGTTTATTTAAGTTTGCATTGATACAAAATAAACTAAACAATTTCTCATTAATGGGAATATTTAATTTTCAATCGAGAGACGGGGTGAGGAAGAAAATGTCTAAAAGATATTTACACGAGGTTAATCGAGGAGGTGTAAAGCAGATCTTTGTCTAATCACTTAAGCCGCGTACATGTGAGTCTGCACCATTCTGCCGCACACTGTAACAATTTACAAATAATGCAGAATAACTAAGTAATTTAATGTTTGTCGGCTTTGCGCAATACATGGTCTGTATTGATGGCGTTTAGTTATAACAATAATGATTAATTATAAACGTTTTTCTTCCTTGAACAATGCCAGTGGTGATAGAAGTGAAAATGAGTTTTGTGTTTGGGTTTGTATGCAAATGAACCTCGGCTGGTGGCATATTGCGTCACATTTTAAATTATTAAGGTACCTGGAAACAGTATCCCCTGTAAAGCAGAATGTTTATTGAAAAGAGACGTGTTAATTTTATCCCTTGGATAATTGCATTTAAACATGCATGTAATCCCAAAAAAGGATACCGATGAAAGCCGAATGTTAAAATGACAATGAAAAAATCCTGATGGGCGGCTTGTATAGTTGCAGTTGCTTATTGGTAGAATGTATGAACAATAAAACAGAAAAGGCCGATTATAATATTTTGTCATAGTGCTTTTGCTTTGCCACAGTATGGAGTATAGGGTATGTACCCATCGTAAGGGAATTAAAACTGTATGTACCATCGGTTTAGTTTAATTTTCTTAGGGTGTATCACAAGTCTGCATGGCCGTCGGTACAGATTACACTAAATAATTCTAGTCTGTGGTATGGCATGTGACTCTGTAATTTATAGCGTGCGCTAAATAACACAGTGACAGAAGAAAACTGCAAAAATGGCCAGTTATCTTTGTTACTGCAATGTTTCCTCATGTAAGGTATCTCAGACACTAGTTATAATTATGTAATGATGAAATGACATACAGTGTAATTAGATGAAGAAATAGATTTAAGAAAGGTAGGGATTAGTTACTGATTTTATCAAATCACCAGACTTGTTACTTATACTTGCTATATCAACACAATAGACATCAGCTATTGAACGAATATAAAGATAAAGAGTAAATATTTTGACAAGTTTTAGTGGTTGAGACACCTGAAGGTTAATGTTTGGATGCTTTTTGTAAATTAAAAGCTTTGACTATTTTTTTTCTTTTCTGTAGATTTCTTCCAGATAGTTATTGAATAATTAGTTTCAAAATTCAGTGCAACACAGTGGTACAGTACATTGGATAAAAATCCTTAAATCCTAAAGACAGATCTGAACTGCCACCACCAGCTGTGGCTTGAAATCCCCAGTAGTGATGCAGGAATGGCCTGGTGCCACTGTTATTGGGTGGGGTGCACCAGACAACAGTGAGTCCTGCTGATGCAAAGGAACCTGCAGGATTAGCTGGTATCTGTAGGAGCTCTCTGTCTTGCAGATGCTGTCTGAACTCTAGATTGGCACTGTGAAAAGAGGCAGCCTGTCAGCACATTTGTGTGTGTGTGTGTTGAGGGGGAGGGTGGGCATAAGTATGTACAATATTTCTAAGCTCTTTTTGATTATCAACAAAGTATAATTGTGAGAGACGTAGAGTCATAATTCGTATCTATAAAATACTTTTAAAACAGCTTTTTGACACAAATGTTCTTCATATAATAAAACTCTAGGTTGTACTTTTTATACTGAAGAAATAACTAAATTACAAAAGACTGTGTATACTGTATAACTCTGTAGATTGCCAACCATCCGTTTTTAGTAACCACTCTTTCCCAAGATAGTTAAAGTGAGCTGGAGCCTTAACTCAAAAGACACAGGGCACAACCTGCCAGTGTGAGGACACACATGTACTGTTTTTGGGGTGAGCAATTTAGGGATGACATATTAACTCGTACAGCATGTTTTTCAACTCTGTGAGGAAAGCAGAGTATGTACCATAGGAAAACCCTTACCAACACAGGGAATAAGATAATGATTCTTGTTCTTGATGATTTTCTCATCTTTCAGGATTTTAGATTCAGGCTCAATATTTCAGGAAGTGAAAAATACAGTACTATGTGAAATGACTAATTACTAATGACTTAATTGATTCATGCTTAGACATAATATATTGCTTACATTTGAAACTCTCACAAATGTATTACTTATTAGGGGTGGGCAGTATGACCTGTATAGATGGTATACCGGTAGAGATATGTGCCACAATATGGATTTGGCTATACCATTTATACAGGTAGAGAATGGAGTTTGATGTTTACATAGATGGTGCCGCCAGCATCGTCGTAAAACAGGGTTTGGAAATTTTTTCTATTGACCCGTCATAGGTTAAAATTCTGCCGGATTTTAGCTTCAGTTCTATAATTCTGAAAATGTTCATCTTGCTGATATTTGGAAATCTGATAGGTTCAGAATTATTGATCTTCGGTGGTTCTGACGTCCGGTTTTTGACGCATCTGAGGTCATCGCAGCCAATAAAGACACGCGGGTGTCCTCTTCCCTTTTCCGTGAAAACAAACGCACGTGTCCGGTGTGCCCATCTGCAAACACAAATAACGCAGAGAAATGGAGAAAGGCAGCGTTAGCGAGGCAGGAACAAGCGACGAAATAGTTGAAAAGAAGGGTGCTTCATCGTTTGTTTGGAAATGGTTCGGATTTAACAAGTCAGACCATGAGCAGACCTGTATCTACAAACTATAGTATGTCGAGCGATGATTAGTCAGAGGCGGCAATACAAGCCACCTCTTCTATCACCTAACCACAAAACATGTGTGCGAGTATGAGGAAAGTACGAGAATAAACTCAGAATCAAGCAGTTCTAGTGTTGGTGTGAAAAGAAAAGCCACAATGCAGACATTGCTGCCTCAGTCATTAGCTAGTCATTGTCCTTATGACAAGAAAAGCACCTTCTGAGAGGGCATTCAGCACTGGTGGCAACTTTGTGACCTGTCACAGATCCACACTCAAGCCAGAGACTGTTGACAAGGTTGTCTTTCTGGCACGTAATCTAACCTGAAGTACAATTTAGTGTGTGCAGTGCACCCTCTTTTTCAAATTTTTACACTAAGTACAGTAGCCATTTCAATACTTATTATTGTAACGCTATGGGTTTCACATGGGCGCCCTCGCCTCTGCCGCATCAGGTCGGCCTCCCACCGTCTGGGACTCAAACCCGGGCCTCCGGCGTCACTCAACAGGGACCCAGCCTCTTGAGCCAAAGGGAAATCTCCCCTCAGCCCAGCGGCTGTGGTCCCTGCTATCCACAGGGAAGGGCGGTGACGTCACCGCTCTGGTAAGCCGGCTCTCACAAGCAATGGAGGCCGTATGTGTCACATTATTCAGTTATTACTTTAATGCTTGAATATTTAAAACATTTTTTGTAATTTTGTTTTAAAAAGTATTACATATGTACTTATTTAATCTGTGTTCATAAGTTAATTGTACTGTTTCAGTTCTGCAAAATAAAAATGTTCTTAAAAATGTTCGACTTCTACTCCAGTTCAATGTGAAATTTTAAAAATACTAAAATACTAAAGCACAATACTAAACAGCACATTAGCTAACCAACAGTTAATAACAACCTAATAGTTAACTCTAGGCAATAAAAACTTAGTATCCCAAGTCTTGTACTCCTTTTAAAGCATGTTCTATTTAAATTATGAGAAAAAATCTATATTAAGATATATCGTTACCGTCCAAAATTAAAATTACACTGTGATATAAATTTAGGCCATATCGCCTGCCCCTAGTACTTGTTATGCAACACTTTCATTTTGTGATATACAGACATATTATAATTTTAATATTATTAAATTGGTGTTCCCCTACTCCCCTGTTGTCTGTTTTTGGCTATTTTTAATGTACACATTTGTATATGTTACATTATATTATATGCACAGATATATATATACACTGTATGTACAGTACAATAAAAGTGAAATTATGTTAACAATAAATTACGAGAGGTTCAATATACATTTCCAGCATATTTTTTGGTAGTGGTATTTGGTCAGTGGTGTGGGTATTATATTGAGTAAATGTGTTTCTATCCAACAGGATTTTAAGTGCTTGAAATCAGGTGAGTCTCTAAGGTAATTCCACATCTGGTTTACATTATATTATTTAAAGCTGGTTTAAGCCTGACAAAGCAATTAATCCTCTCCCATAAACTGCACTGTCTAAACTAGTCACTTATCCTTTCAAAAATTCCAACTTTGGAGTGATTTCCAAGCACATGTAAACTCAAGGTATGACAATGAATGACTTTTCTTATGACAAGTATGTTTTCGTGCTATTCAGTAAAATGGAAAAAATCATGTTTAATTTAAAAACAAATGAATGAGAACATCTTCTTAACTGTAATTACTGTGATAAAAACCTCTATGTAGGCATAACTTGACAGGTTGTACAGTTTTCAGTTCAGTTCAACATCCTTTATTTATCCCCATCATTTGCAAGCCCGATGGCCTCTGGAACAAAGCTAAGTTTCCTTTTATTTGTCTTGCCCTGTACACAGCAAAAACATCTCCCTGAAGGCAAAAGGGCAAAAGACATGAGATGACTGGATCAGAAGTTAATATTCAGAAATCACTTTAAATAAGTCTGTTCCTCACTTCTTGAGAGCACTCTACTGTTCTAGTTATATTTTGTTACATGATAATATTCAAATTCGATAATAATCCATATATTAATTTAAAAAAACGCTTTATCCAGAGTGTAATGCGTATTTCTAAATACACCAATATGCTTTAATTATAATTTAAAGATACAATGTATTTTAACAACGAGTCTTATTTTTCTTTTTTGTTTTTATCCTAGATATTTTGTGATAATGAAGAAATAAAATCCTTGAATATTAAATATACATTGCCAGCATATTAACTTTTATTCTTCAATCAAAAGAAGTGTCTGTTTTTAAAAGAACCTGTATTACAAAGGGACTCGGCCAGATCAGACTTCTCCCCTTCCCCCTATACCAATAGACATTTTCATCCCTTTGTACTTGTTTGCTAATCAAATGCCCAAAAACAGCAAAGTCGTCAAGAGAGAGCTTGACGATGATGTCACAGAGTCTGTCAAAGATCTGCTTTCCAATGAAGACCCTGTTGATGATTCTTTCAAAAAAAGTTCATTAATAGTAGATGATGTCCAGGAAGACAAGGAAAGAGACATTGAAGAAGGTTCAGACACTGAGGAGGAAAGGCCTGCCTGGAACAGCAAACTGCAGTATATTCTGGCTCAGGTGGGCTTCTCTGTAGGCCTGGGCAACGTCTGGAGATTTCCATACCTCTGTCAGAAAAATGGTGGAGGTAAGCCCATCTACTAAGATTTGTCCTTTTAAAAAGCATTTTGTCTAAAGTGGTATGTAATTTTATGTAGCCAGTATTATAGTTAATTTATGTTTAAATCTGTGTTTTAACCTGCTGAATGCTATTATTTTGCATTTTTGGTGTTTACTTACTGTATGTCGCTCTTTTAAAGGTATTTACATGGAAGTCATTGCGCTTTCACTGGATCGCTGTTTAGTAAAACACATCCCTTGCCTTCTGCGGTATAGAATGTTTTTTTAGAATAATTAACCATAATTAATGTAAATATTGTAATTATGATCATGGTAAACTACATACACTGTCAATTGGTTAAAAATAATAAGTGTGTAAGGTTATTTTGTTTAATAACTGCTTGCACAACTGTCTACAAATATAACAGTAAACTAGATGACTGAATGTTAGTTAAACAAGCTCTGATACTAGTGATCAGTATTAACTGTAAAATATGCTTGAGGATTCAATGATGCAAAGTTTTATAGATGTTTTGTGAGAAGCAACTCACTTCTATCATAATTCAGAGTTTTAGTATTTTTATCTTGGAAACAGAATTAGGTATGTTTAGAGGGACATTATGTGAAAATCTGAACACTGAAAACACCAAACATTCTAGCAGATTCTTACTAGTCTTATGTTTTAGAAAGTTTGGATTTCCTTTTTAAATTTCACTCTCAGAAGACAATAAGAATCTAGAGAGAAAATGAATCCACAATGTACATGAAACAGAAGCAGCAAAGCATGAGGTAGTGTTGGCAACAATTCAACAGGTTTTCTTACCACCTACAGTGGTTATTAAATCTTTGTGTTTTACAATGGCTCCAATTATTACAGAATGTTTTATACGGAGGCATTTTATGGTTTTATACTTACTGTATGATTTTGTTTAGACATATTTGTCCCCAGTAGCTTCAGCTTTTTAATGTGTCAAGTCATATTTTTCATCATGAGAAATTAAATTAAGTCACTTTAAGGGTCACAAAATCTCTTTGTACAAAGTGATTTTGCAACTGGTGTAAGAATTATACAGTATGTAGGATTAAGTTGAAATGTTCACTTCAGATGTTAAAGAAAGCTTTTAGCAGGTGAATACAACGTTCAGATACTTTTATATACTGTATACAGTATATTGTACGTGAACCTTGACTTGTGAGTCAAGAGTGACATTAGTTACAGTACATTAACACACTAAAATTGTGCTTTAGTGCTCACAATTGTTTTAAACCTACCCAAAGAAAAATAATAGTTATTTTGGATAGCCTTTTATCCTGCTACTTAACTACATGTTACATATTTGATCATTTTTCTTTGCTAACCACCAATTAAATCAGTTATCTGAAAGTGTAATCACTATTGCGAGTTTCTGTCATAATACGAGTGTCACACATTTCCCACTGTGATAGAAATAGATCCCATTCAGAGTGACAGTTAAGATTTCTTTTATATGTATGTTTGTGGCTTACAAGCCAGGGAACAGAAATTATCCCATAAAAGCTGCTTACAATCCTGGGATCCTGGGATTTCTTGTATTGTCAATACAAACTGGACAATTTTCACAACCTGGCTGTCCTAAAAAGACACATTTTTTCATTGGATTTAAAACAGCGAGGTCACCAGTAGCAAAGCTCCTGTCTTGCCATGTTTTCCACCAAGTTTTAAATGTTAGTAGCAGTCTGTTAGGTCATGCCCTAATTTAATTAACAGCAGATCACTGAGCATAAGACACAATTGTTTGATGTTTTTTGTGTAAGTTAATTTACTGCAAACTCCATAGATAATATACAATATCACCTGTTAAACTAAAGTGCACTTTGTTCTTGAAATGTTGTTTTCTCTAAACAGATTCTGCTTGTTCAGAGCCTTATGATTGAAACTGGACATGAACAGGATTTTTATAAGGTGTATGCACAGTATTAAAAATCAGAAGTAAAATGATATTTTCTGATTCTTTATTGTTTATTTTCAAGCATAGTGCATCTCACTTTGTGAAGTTTCATGTAGTCCTTACCTCAGCTGCTAAGTGAAATGACAACTAAATTGAAATCCACCACATTTCTTGGATCCTATTTGCACTGTCTTGCTCTGTTTATAATTGTCATGTATCATCTATGAATCATTAAGATCTGTTACCTTGGCTCATACGCTGGCAGATATTATCCCTCTAATAAAAAGCAAGGCTTAGCTAACCTGCTCAATCATCATTTTCAAATTGATCACTTGCTTTAAATGGCAATGCTTTAAAAATTGGCTGTTGCTCTTCAGGTCAGAGCTTACTTACCTGCAAAAAAAGATGCATGAGCCATTTCAACCTGGGTTTTGACTGTAGTAGTAATGAAACAGCTCTTGTTAGAGTTGCCAACGATATTTTACTTCTGGCTTCTGAAAATGTGTATCCATTCTTGCCTTGTTGGACCTCAGTACTGCCTCTGATACTGTTGAATGGAGGTCTGCTGGTATTACTGGTTGTAGCAGGCCAGTAGAAATTAACCTGTTTCAGCTGACCTGCTAAAGGTCGGTCAGACCTCTATCACTTATACATTAATTCACAGGTGGTGAATTAGTTCATTAAATGGATAATTAGTGAAGGGCTAAGAGCTATATTCTCACATAGATTTTAATTTAGAATAGTTTGGTATACAGTATAAAGGGATCTCGTGAGAGTTGGTGCTTGGCTGTTAGAGTAGGTTTGGTTTGTTATACAGTTAAACTGTGGCTCCGTTCTTGGTCCCATTCAGTTTAAAATCTATATGCACATACTCATAGACGTGGTGTGTCAAGTATATAACTTATTTACTACTGTTTATGGATCTGTGTTCTTTCGATACTTTCTAATATCAATAATACTTCTACTTTTTTTAATAAACTTATTTTATAAGTTTAATTTATTAAGGTGCAGGTGTTGCTATTTAGGGTGATCCTTTTCCTAGCTTTCTCTTGTCACATTCGCTGATTTCAATGTTGTGGTTAGATGTTTTAAGCTGCACACGAGCCTCACTGTTCAGTCATTAATTGGCTCCAGCCGGGAGAAAAAAAATACTCTGTTTAAAGAGATATGTAAATCCAAATACTGAGACCAGTGAAAATGGCATTTCAGTCAAATTTAAATGTCGGGGACTTCCAACAGGTCTCAATAAAGGTTCTGTGTCAAGATTTCAATCACAATCAAGGTTTAAATGTCCCAATAAATGGTAGAGCTTGTGAGAATTTCTAATATGTTTCAGGAAGAACTATGAACAGTTTGTCCTATACCTGGGCTGAAATTTTGGTCAGTTAAAAACATTAGTTGTGCAATACATTTATCATCACCCAGTTTGGAGTGGTCAACCTTTTACTGAGTAAAAGAACTGATTGTATCAGGGCCATCCATAAGGAGTGCCAAAATCTTCCAGTGGCTTAGTCAATGAACTTTGCTATGAAACGGAATGTGCTGCAATGTGCAGACTTAGCCTGAGGCTGTGTGTTAATTCAGATGGAACAACAAGAAAATTCATCTTCACCACTGTAGTTATCACATTATTAAACACAGAATTAGAAATCTTGGCACAAAGATGTTCTGAGGAATAAAATGATGATTATTTACCAGTGGGTGGCCATTTTGATCTTCAGTTATCATTACAAATACCTATAACAGGGACATCATCACTTATTCTATTTCTAAAATATTCTAAAATATTTTTCTGATGTCAAATGCTCCGTCCTCAAAATAATTAACAAACATCATTGCTATGACTCATGTCATAAAACCTAACTTTCTAGAGTTATCTGAGAAAATACAGTGCAATCAAAACAAACAGGCATTATACATCCAAAAGGCACTGATCCATTCTGGATTCTGGAACACGATTTTTAGAGTTTTAGGAAAAATAAAAATTAATCCTAGTCACAGTATCTCAGAAGAACTCCTAAACATGGTACATCATTTATATCCATGCTATAGATCCTATCCTGGCTGGCAATGGGCACAAGGCAAGATACACCCTGGATGCCAGTCCATTGCCAGACGAACACACAGACACAAACACTCATACCTAGGGACACTTTTCCCACAAGCCAAAAAACTAACTGTATGTCTTGAATGGCTTTGAACCGTGGGAGGAAACCAGAGCACTCACAGGAAACCCATGCAAATACAGGGACAACACACAAACTCCACGCAGATAGCACCCTAGGTCCAGAATTGAACCCAGGGCTCCCGGCACTGTTAAGTAGCAATGCAAACCACTGCATTACTGTGCCGCCCTCATCCCTACTCTCATTTAATGAAAAATGGATTAGAAAAGCAATTCTGACACTATCGTGTACTATATGCTTTTATAATGAAAGCTGTTTTGAAATATATTGCATTCTAGACTGACTGGGAAATTAGAGTAAATGTAAAGTTACATTTTACAATATTTCACAGAAATATATAAATATAAAAAAACAAAAATATTAAGGTCAATACTTATACAATAGAAATATCTTTACTACTTTATTTAAGATCATAATCTATAATGGTTTTATGATTTGTCCTGTTCTCGTTTTACTTTTAGTCTTGGCAAAGACACAACATGATTTGTTTCAGAATGAATGACCACTGGAAGCTCACTAATCCTTAGTTCAGGAAAGATTTTATAAATTAAGCAATTAAAATGAGCTGGTCTGTAGAGAAAACACTTAGTTAATGTGAGTAACTGATGGCATGTACTGTACATTAACATATTGAATTAACTAACATGTCTGAGGTTTTTTAATTGTAGTTTTGCAGGGGGAACAAAAAAGTTATTTTTCCCTAACCTGAAATGAGGTAATAACATAGTTTTACAATATGGTCTGGTTTTGCAAAGCCGTGTGTGGAAGTCTAATGGTAAGCACACAGAATTTACATGAAAAATATACATTTTCATGATCACTTACAATGTAAGAGCACTTTCCACATAGAAAAATCTTAGAAAACCTCCCATGAAGAAACTTATTTCAAGGCATTGTTAGATTTTTTTTTCTTGAAGGAGATGAGATTTTGCTCCTTATAAAGCTTCACATGTAAAACTTGTTTCATATGTCAAGGATTACTTTTCTGCACACTGATGCTCATACATTATATTGTTTCTAAAAATATCTGATCTGACAAAAATTAAATTATATGTGAGATAGGACATTGTTATAGAATATGTTATATTCTGAACTCAAACCAAAAGTATATCCTCTTTGTAGTATGACTGTCCCTACAGATCATCACCACTAAAAGAATCCAGATAATGTACAAAACGATGTATTTTTCTTAACTATGATAATGTAACTAACTTTTTTGCCCATTTCTAAAAGAAATCACAATAAAAAATAAAAATAATCAAAATAACCATGACAAGCCTTGCAAACATGTTAACTAGTTCTTAAAAAACATAAAAGTAATACAATAAGCATTTTTTATTTATTTATCATTCTGTCTTCAAAAAGGGCTGTTTGCTTCCGAAAAGGATAAAAACAGTTTGGGCCAGCTGTATTTATTTATTGTCATCTGACACACTGACACAAATTGTGATCTGAGTTTAATGATTTAATGCATTTTTGCACATTTTTTCTTTATCATGTTTTTCTGTTCATCATTATTCTGTACACTTAATGGAATCATAAGTATGTGGTAATAGGCAGCTGTGTCTTGTTTGTACATGATGTTGGAATCACAGTAGTGAAATTGCCTTCAATCTGAAGAGGAAACAAATTTAGGCAATTTACTCGTCATGCTTTCAGCTACATTGTTTTTCAAATCTTTTTCTACTGTTTGTTACAGTAGATATCAAAAACAAATTATTTCAATTTGGAAATAAATGTTTCACTCTGTGGAAAACAACAATTGATAATATAAACCTATCAAGATGAACAGAGTGTTCTTTTTTTTTACCTGAAATTGCTTGAAAAAGACACAAAAAAGCTGCATTGTCCTCTTCTGAGCCAGCCTAATAATATAGTAAAAAATAGCAAAATAGAAAGTAAAATTAATTATCATAGAAATTAAAAACAACGTCTGTCTCAGTTTGCTCACTTTGATATAATTAATTCACATAACCTGGGGCATTGTTCTACAGCCTGGAAAACATTAAGGCAGTGACCCTGTACTAGACAGCAGGTTTTTATTTGGCAGAGTCTACTGGCTTCTACTAAAATGGTGTAGGGACATGTATCAGGATTGAATTTGTAAATGTCATATGGGTCTAAGTTTTGATTTCAACCTGGGACTAGATTTTTGAAAGTTTACACACACCACTGCTAATAATCCAAGGACAGCATGCAATTACAGAGTGATAAGCAAATCTTTTTTTATTTTCAGAACTTACTGTACATATTCATTACTTCTTTCAAAAAAACTAATGTAAAATTAAAATAGAATTGTAATCTTGTGTAACTGTCCTACATGTGATCAAACACGACTACAGAACCCTCTATGCAGGATGTTCAAGGGCTGCTCATTTCATTTACTTTATTTTGTTCATAGAGCTGCTCTAACAAGTGTGAGGGTGGTACCACTGGAACAGTTGATGCTAGTCATTTTTTCTTTGCCCAAGTCATCTGTCAGAGAGATTTAAAGATCAGGTATTTGGTCATATTGGACACCTTTGTCACAAATGGTTTTGACTACCATTTTCTGTACTGTAGATCTGAATCCCCTTTTTGTGGGGTTAACGTAACGTAAAAACCTGAAAACTATTCTGAATGGCAACTGGTATTATAAAAGACCTGTTAATTGTAAGAATTAAAAACTTTTAAACAAGTTTGACATATTGTAATTTTTCAAAATTGATGATGCATATTTGATAGTTTTACATAAAATATTATACATTTTGTAAGATTAAAGATTAATATGACATTGCTACTAATGGATAATATGTATAAAATATGATAACTTATAACTTAAGGTAGAGTATATACATGTAGGTATAGGCCATAGGTTATAGGTAAGTTTAGATATTAAATATCTATTAAATATCTAAAATCAGCACCCATAAAGAACTTGGTCCACCGCTTTAAAAAATGAACTGTTTCCGTAGGTATTAAATAAAATATTTAGGTGTAAGTACTGAATAAATATGGAAATAAAAAGGGAACAATAAATCTAAAAATCCTGAGATCATCTATCAGATAATATTCAAATTCTTCATAAAATCAATGAAGATCCTAGCAGGAAAAAGTCAAATGAAATGTATATTAAAGTAACACAATTAATTATCTACATGAAGTTTTTGTACTTGCACGTGGTTTATAACTTGGTTTTGTTCCTTAATTGACAGGTGCGTACCTAGTTCCTTATTTCATCCTATTGGTGGTGATAGGGATTCCACTGTTTTTTCTCGAACTGGCAGTAGGCCAGCGAATCAGAAGAGGAAGCATTGGAGTGTGGAATTACATCAGCCCACGCTTGGGAGGGATAGGATTTGCGAGCTGTGTGGTAAGTGAGGTAGTATTTAATGTAAGATTTAGCATCATAAGATTAGGGAGGAACCTTAAACTGTAAATTATATAGGAAATCTTTAATGAGTGACTAAGAAGGAAATAGCTGCTTTTATGATCTCCTAGTGAAATCTTGATCTCTTTAAGGAAAATTATAGCATTTTGTTTCAAATAAGGATTGCAGCAGCCCCTGAGAAAAATTAAACCCAAAACACAAATCCCAGTAATATATAACCCAGTATATTCTATATATTCTATATTATAACCCAGTAATTCTAAGCTCATGTTATTTATCTAATTACAAACATAGTTTGGCCTAATTGATATGCGAGAAATTGTTTTTACCAAGTCCCACTTTAGGGAGTGTCTGTTAATTTTCTTTAGTGTGCTTTAAAATAACTTGGTTAAATATTTTTAAAATACAGGTAACCACTGATTATTACAGTGAGTATAGAAAGTCACTGCCCCCTTTTAAACTGTTCACCTTTTGTTGCCCTAAAGCTCAAAAAGAAGACAAAATCAGACTTCTTCCAGTTGTATATAAAAATTGTACCTTGCAATATCCAAGTGAAAAAAGAAAGCAAAATTTCTGAAAACAAAAAGTACAATAACCGGGTTGGATAAGAGAACACCCCCCTGAGTTAATACTTGGTGGAAGCACCTTTTGCTTGAATTACAGCCTTGAGTCTGTTTGGATACATCTCTACCAACTACACACCTAGAGGGAGGAATATTTGCCCATTCCTCCTTACAGAATTGTTCAAACTCAGTCAAACTGCATGGTGACCATTGATGAACTGCCCTCTTCAAGTCATTCCAAAATTTTTCAATGGGATTTAGGTCGGGGTTTTGACTAGGCCACTCCACGATATTCACCTTCTGGTCCTTCAGCTGCTGTACGGTTGTATGGCGGTGTGCATTGGAACATTGTCATGTTGAAAGGTGAACCATCTTCCCATTTTCAACTTTTTGGCTGATGGCTGCAGGTTTTCTTCACAAATTTGCCTGTATTTTGCACCATCCATCTTCCTTTCTATCCTGACAAGTGCCCCAGTCCCAGCTGAAGAGAAACACCCCCACAACAGGATGCTTCCACCACCGTGCTTTACTGTAGGAATGGTGTTCTTTGGATGGTAAAATGTATTGGGTTTTTGCCAGATGTACTGTTTTGCATTACGTCCAAAAAGTTCGATTTTGGTCTCATCTGACCACAGCACCTTTTGCCACTTAGACACAGAATCTTTAAGGTGCTTATTAGTAAAGCATAAATTAGACTTTTGATGTGACCTTTTTTAAGGAGTGGCTTTTTTCTTGCTGCCCTGCCATACAGGCCAGATTTGTGATGTTGTCACATGCACACCATGACCATGTCATTCAGTTGCCATCGGCCTCTTGGTAGCCTCTCTGATAAGTCTCCTTCTTGCTCAGTTATCCAGTTTGGAGGGATGGCCTGATCTAGATAAGGTCTGGTACTTAAAGCCTTTGAAATCATTTTATACTCATCTTCACAACTTTATCTCAAAGTTCTTTTGAAAGCACCTTTCCCATAGTGGATTCTTTGCTTTGAAATGCACTTCCAAGCAGAGCAGTCCTCTAGAAACAGCTGCTTTTATTCTGAACTCATCAAAATCACCACAATTGATCACATGTGGGAGCCAATTAGTTTGTTGTGTGATCTGTAAGGTGATTGGTTATTCCTGAGCACATTTACAAATGCAATTGGGGGGTATTCACTTATCCAAATAAGGTATTTTACTGTTGTAATATTAATTAATTTTCAGAATATTTCAGAATTTTATTTTCACTTGGCTAATGTGGGTTACTGTGTTTAAATAAAAATGGAACAGTTTAATTGGTTTTTATTTTCAGGGTGTCATACAACAAAAGGTACAAATTTTGAAAGGGGGTGATGACTTCCTATACCCACTGTACCTTATCTGCTCTATAAAGAGTGCTATTTTATAAATGCTATTTAAAAATGTGCTCTGAAGCACATATTGCTGCTGAACAATGCAATTTACTGATTTTTTTATTACAGTATAATAATAAAGTCTTTAAAGAACAAAATTGTGAAAAATCATTAGTAACGAAAGCGTAATACCCGAATAAGTCAATGCATAGCAAAATGATTTTTATCTTCATGTAGATAGTTTGATGTTAAAGATTAAATTTCAGAACTGTAAACTGTATAAAAGTAGACTATTCACAAGCACAGTGATGGTTCATTGCAAAATTGAGTGCTTTTGAGTGGTAAGCCTTTGAAACCATTCTTTATAATGTTTAATATATCATATTCATTTTCAGATCAGTGCTTCTATCTAGTAAATTAATTAAGTCTAGTAAATTAATTATGTACTATGCCATTCTTTCATGTGTGATCTGTTTATTTTTAACCAATCTACAGGGTAGGCACTGTCTTTTTAGGTTTAAGATACATGAAAATGTTCTGTTCTTGTTTCAGTTATTGACAGCACAGTACTTTAAACATAACCAAAAATACCATCCTTATTTGTTTGGTGTAAATGACATTTAATGTTTTATGTTATTCTGCTGTGTATTAAAGAGCTTCTAACAAATACCACACAAAACTAGTAAATAATACCACAAACAACTAATAAGATCATAGATAGTAAAAACTCATCTATATTCTTTTTAATTTAAGGGGTTAACTTAAAGACAAGTTTCTGGTACCATTAATTTTTATTCTAAATTTATATTAAACTATTTAGAACATAATGAAATATATTGAGCAATAAAACAGAATTTCTGTGAGAGGTGTTCACAGAACAAAAAAGAAACTTAAGGAGAAGGCAGATTAAACAGATTTTGTAACTGAAAATGTATGTCTCCAGGCTTACACAATTTATGCACTGGAGCAGAGAAAGTTAATTGTACTTCTTTCCTATACTTAAATGCAACCAAGGGAAACAGATGTATCTCAATCTTCACCTGTGCCGCACAAAATAGATTTTTTCTCCAGTTACAGTAGATGCACCAGTAAAAGAGGCCTGAAGTTTAACAGTAACCTGAATTATTATAGAGCAGAAGAAGTCTGGGGTTCGTTGGCACACCATTTCACAGCTTTGGGTTTTTTTTACATCTCAATGGAGAGGAACTTATTGGTTTCTCTTCTCATTTGGGGGAGTCTAAATGTATCCTGGGAGGGGGTAAAATGACCCAACCCTAGCAATCTTGTTAGCAATGTGTCTGTTCTGACATGCACTGCATTGAAACGTAAGATTTCTATTTTGACCAATAAATCATCACAATCGTTTTCTGATTAGTATTTTCACTTAATGGATCAAATACTTGAACATCTTGAAAAAGCTATGGTTTCTGAGGTTTTTGCCAGCTTAAATTATTTTTCAATTTCACCTGTGTATAATGGTACAGGTACCAACAGTAGAACAACAAAGGGTACACCATGTAAATTTTCCAGGCATTTTGAAACAAACAAACAAACAAACAAACAAACAAACAAACAAACAAACAAGCAAACATTTGTATGCTATGTTAAAGAATATGGTCTGCTATCCTGCAGGTCTGCTTTTTTGTTGCTCTCTACTACAATGTCATTATCGGATGGAGCCTCTTCTACTTTTCACAGTCCTTCCAACAGCCTCTGCCATGGGACCAGTGTCCGCTGGTCAAGAACAACACCAATACATGTAAGTCACTCAAAGGTCTTGTATGAGAACTGTACAGAATTTCAAGGGCTGGTTTTACCGTTTAGACAGAGGGCTATAACATTTATTGGAGACAGCTGAGATATATTTGTTTGGGCATTAAAAACATGAGCAGCCAATCAAAACCCAACATGATAAAGAAACCACAGACACCTAGAATGTGGGAGACCTGCAATGTTAGACCTCAAATGTGAATTAGTTAATATTTTCAGCTACAGTATGAAGTCTCTAGGCTTCTCATAATCTATTCCTTTGTGTATATAAACCAACACAATGGTTTTAACATAACTGTAAAGTTTACAATTTCATAAAATACCCCGGAACATGAAAATTACAGAAAATGTTACATCAGATCAAAATTCTATAGTCTTTACCATTCAAATAATTAGTTTGGAAAGAAAATTGTGTCCATATAAAGTATTTATTTTCAAGAACTCTATAGCCCAGAATTCTGCTCCAAGGCTATTAGTGACTGGCAGTACATACAGTATGTAGTCAAGTGCCATTGTGATAGATAGAGTAGAGTCACCCGGGAGGATCCTAGTCTTGCTGAGTAAGAGTGGTTCCTGTTCCCGGTCAAGTGCTAGTATTCAGGAAGGCTGTTTGCCTTTTTCAACCAAATCACAACTCTGCTGCTTGAGCTTTTGGCTTAATTGAATGTAAGTGAATCTTAAGTGAACTAAGGTCTTCCATTGTAGATGATATGTTTGTTATAGGCAACTACAAAAGCAAAGGTATTATCTGTCAGTAGCTACTGTATATCACCCTGTACCTCACAACTAGCCACCCACTGAAGCTAAGCAGGTGTGAGACTGGCCAGTACTTGGATGGGAGACCTCCTGGGAATGGGAAGTTACAGCTGGAAGAAGTGGGTCCTAATGCCCTAAACTGTATAAAAACATTATACTGTAAAAAGAAGTGCTCTCCTTCAGATGAGATATAAAACTGAGGTCCTGACTTGCTGTAGTCATTAAGAAATCCCAGGGTGTTTTGCGAAAAGAGCAGGAGTGTTACCCTAGCATCCTGACCAAATTCTCTATTGGTCCTTACCTAATAATCCCCATCTATGAATTGACTTTTCCACTGACAGCTAATGTGTGATGAGTGTACTGGCATACTATGGGTGCTATTGCACCATCCAGGTGGGTGCTGAACATTGGTGGTGGTGGAGTGGAGTCCTCATTACCTGTAAAGTGCTTTGAGTGGAGTGTCCAGAAAAGTGCTATATTAGTGTAATAAATGACATTTTATTAATAATAAATACTAGAATAATAAAGAAGATATTAATTCATATTAATTGTTTTAATATCATCTGAATGGAATATATATTGAATACAAAACAAATCAATATATCTTGAATTTGTTGCTTTTACAGTTGTGGAGCCTGAATGTGAAAAGAGTTCTGCAACCACTTTTTACTGGTACAGAGAGGCACTGGATATCTCAGACTCTATCTCTGAGAGTGGAGGCCTCAACTGGAAGATGACCGTCTGCTTACTTGCTGCGTGGGCCATGGTGTGTCTGGCTATGATTAAAGGAATCCAGTCTTCAGGCAAAGTTAGTATTTCTTCTTGTAGTTGTTTCTTATCAAACATTTGGTGCAACAAGCAGATACATGCACACCATTTGATCTCTTAATCTCTATGTAGTGCAAAATATGGGGTATACTATACTGTAGGTACACCAAGCTACTCAATTGGTAAAAGTACTTATCTATGTGCAGTTTGAGCCCTATAATCGTGAGTTGAGCCCATCAAAGTCATATCACAAGCTGACTGTATCCAGCAATCATCAGGTTTGGCCAAAATTGATTTAATGCTACAGAATGTAAGGTAGAAATTGCTCTTTGCTCTCAGAGGTGCATGAAGCCTTCCAAGGTTATTTGCAAGCATGCAGTGCTCTTGGTGCAGGATGTGCCTCTCCTCCAGTCGGACACTAAGTTCTGGTGTGGGGCAGTGTTTCTTGTGACATGTTAAAAGGCGAACGGCTTGCTGGTTTGAGTGTTGGGGGAGCCTGCTTCCACTTCCACTTAATGTGTGCAGTCTTGGTTCATAACTGTGAGCCAGTACTTGAAAAACATAAAGACTTTAAAGCGATACCTGAACTTCATTACACATACAGTATATATAGAGATTGATTGTGTATTATATGGAACAAATAAAAAAATGAAACAGCGCATAGTGTAACATAGTTGTATAATGACAAACAGAAGTTATCGAGGGATTTCAACTAAAGGAAGCTGTTCATTAAACATTTACCACTCTGATAGGTTTACACCTTAGCTAAGAAGAACACAGTACAAATGTTCACATAGGACATTGAAACTTTTAAGGAATACTTATTACTCAGAAGCTGAAAATGTGCTGCTTTTTGTTAAACAGAGAAAGGAAATGTATAGTTCTCTATGTGATTTGTAAATGAAACCTGGTTGCTTAAGAGCATTGTAGCCTTTCCTTGTGTGTAGACAATATGATAACCATAACAAATAAATGACAAATCATTCAAAACATCTATTTTATCATGCATTTACTACCTCAGATTAAGCCTTAGGTGTTGTCCATATGGAAAAAAAAATCTCACTTGTCTTATGGAAGACATCTGAAACAATTTCTTTAAACAACGCAAATATATTTTTAGGATTTTAGGATGAGCACAAGGGGTACTTGGAAGATCACAAAAAATTTAATTGGAAATAAATCTTGCCTTATATTATTTACTTGGATGTTATGATTTCTTATGATTTTCTGTAAACATGAAGTATAAGAATTTTGTTTTTTTCTGTGTATACAATATTTTCTAATATGTACCTGTAGGTTATTTAATTAATAACTATTGTTCTTATTATTTTGGTTAATTTCAGTGTTCCACAGTAGCATAATGTGTTAAGTATACAGTAAGTCATGAGCACACTTTGGTATTATAATGGTAAATGCCACCGGATACTTTTGCTAAGGAATTTCTAATTTAGTATGGTCAGGTTTGGTTTCTTATGTTTTGTGACATAAAATAGTTTGTTGTAAGATTTGAAGTGCCATGTTATGAAACAGCGCATATATTCCATAAAAACTTTCATCAGGCTGTTAGATTTGCCAGAAGTCTTATGTTTTCTGTTTCAAAGCCATGTCTAATTTATATCAGAACTTCATTTGCATTAAAATTATTTTAGAAATCCAGCTTCTACTTGTACTGTACTTTTCAGATACCCTGAATTTCTTGTCTCGGCTGTATCAAATCTGAACTACTATGTAAACTACATATTTTGTTCTAGGCTTCAATTTCAGGTGAATGTTCTGACATGCAAATGAAAATCTGTCTTGTGATGAGTGATCTTATCTCATCACTGTATGTTAATCAGCTGACTGCCCCCAAGTGCCGCCAGTACAATTCAGAGCTAAAGAAAGTACACAAGAACGTTGGCCTTACTTCCCATGTGATGCTATAGCCTGAGGCTGAACAAAACAGCTATATTTAATGTTTAATAAAAGGTAATGGACACAATATATTTCTACTGAACATTAGAACAGATTGTTCATTAATTACAGGGGTCTATAAAGACAGCCAAGTCAGCATTTTGTGCATAAATTCTCATTTTGATATTGCCTCTCCATAAATTCATAAACCAAGGATTATTTCGGTTCAAACTAAAATAAAATCAATGTCTTATGTTAACATATTTTGAAATAACATACCCCTAACAGCACTTTTTAATTCCAGAGAAATTATGTGTTTGCTTATGTAAATGATGGAGTCTCTCTCACCTAAAAATGTGGTCTATGTATTGTAGTCTGCACAGGTTTTCCATTGCTTAATTATTATGTGAAATAATAAATGTTCTGATTATACTGTAAAAAGAGCATTTACAATGTTGTGGCATTACATACTGTAAAAGCCATATGACATTCAAAAAGCATTAATTACTGATGAATTTAAAGAATCAGTGAGTGAATCCTACTACTGTGTGTGTAATTATTGCACCACTTAAACCCAGAGATTATTTAGCATACTGAAGATTTTTCAAAGTAAGGTGGTATTTGCTAATAAAAAGAGACCCTACAAAAGATGAATTGTGAGTTAAATTTCCCTTATTTTTAGAGAAGGTATTGTACCTTTTGGGTAAAACTTTTTATTACTGTTTTGATCAGTTTAATTAAATACATTCAGCACCAGGATTTACTTAGGTTATTATGACCATTTTAGCTTAAAAGACTTAATAATCTTGAAAGATTAGTATCTATTGACCTTTAAAGACTACTAAATATAATGCATAATATGGTTTTAATTTAGACTTTTTAAATCTTTCTGGAGATTGTGTCAGATGACTCATCTCCTTTGGTATCAAAAAATTTTATTCAGTTTAGTCAGTTCATTTAAGAGAAACAGTCAAGTCTAAAATTTAATTTGATTTGAAAGCCTTTCTGAAAAAAAACTTGCAGAATTCTGAAAGAAATTCTTATTCTAAATCTGGAGCATGGCTATTGGGAATTCAGAGCTTGAAGAGTGAGCTTATGGCATTCAATAAATTTGGTAACAATGAATTACTTAAAAAACAGGATATGGAAGAGATAATAAACTTATTTTTACTGTATATACTGTATATATGTTTAGATCAATTCTTATTAGTTTCCATAGTCCTCAGATTCCAGTTAAAAACATTTAGATGTTAAGTGGAAAAATATTTTTAGAAAACTTAATATTTTGTAGTTTAGAACTCAAATAGATTCCATGTTGCTACTGTATCAGCTGTATGTACTGTACAGTTATAAACTTGAAACCATGGTTTTCAAAAATTATGGTACTGTATGTAGCACTCTTTTCAAACTGCTATTTAAATATGTATTACTCATCTTTCATTATGATAGACAAAGGACTTTTGAAATGTCATACACATTCAAAGATTACAACAAAGAGAACCTCCTGAGCCATTTTATCCTCAGTAGCGTATCCATGCATTCATTTTTATGAAAACCTCATTTCTTTTATTGAATGTATTAACGTTCCATTCATAGTATTTTAATAGGTTTGAAATGCTTTTCCTGCATGTGGAAGAACAGTTGAGAATCTCTGTACTATTTAAAGTCAAATTACCAACAGATGTTTTTTTTTCATAGTGTGCAGTGTTATAATAATAAAATGTTCAGGAAAGCATGGTCACCTATAAATACTGAAAAAGAAATCAAGATTGTGAACCTGAAACACAGGCAGTTAGCAACTATGGGACCAATATCATGGTATGCATGATTGCAAATTTATCACTCTTGACACAGAGAATGCATTCCTCCAGTGTTTGTGGCCAGTGAACAAACCCAAACCATTCAGTCATTTGTATATCAATATTATCGACCAATGCAAGCAAGTAAGGAAAGCAGTCATCTGAAACACAATGTTTTTTAATAAAGAAACTAGCAACACCAGTCTGTATCGAAACATGCTTCTCAGTTTCAGGTATAAGCAGGCAAACAAATCAATAACATGATTCCATTATAATAAGAATTGTACAGTATGTGACAAAATTAAATTAGTGCTCAATTTCTGAAAAAAAAACAACAACATGTTAATATACCTTAAATATATGCACTTAAAATGTTTTAGACATGATTTGTTTTGCAGTCCTTGGGTGGAAACTAATACTTACAATAAAATCCACATTCGGCTGTGAGTAGTTGTCTCATCAAAGTATTGTGTTTTTATTAGCAAGATCTCGCTTTTACAATGAACACATAATAGATGAAAAACTACTGTGCAATTTATTGATCTGGGTTTCCCTTTTAAATGGTTAGTAAATTGTTTTAAGTAGTAAAAATGCCTGAAGGTTTGTAGACCAACGGGTGTAGTACATTGCACTGTACGGATTTCCACTTTGGAGAGCCCTAGACCTTCTTTTTACTAATTCCTAGAACATGTGTCATAAAATAACATCCATACTGTGTCAAGGTTGCATCCAGATGTGTCTGATAATTAAAGAAAATAGCTAGAATATTAAATCAGCAGTGTGCCTCTTTTTATGTGAGAATTACCATGTAGCTATATTTCAGGAAAACTGCATTCTTGACTAATTATACCTTGAGTCTTAACTATGAAATACTTAACTACTTAGTACAGTACATACTGTAGTACAGCTAGGGTATTCCTCAGTCTTTCTATTTACACAGTTTCATCCATCTTACTAGTGGACTTTCCTTAAAAGTCTTGAAAATGATTATTACCTTTTTCCGTGGTACTTTAAGAATATTCCTCAGATGTTTGAAAGCATGTAGGTCCCTCAGATATGTTAGAAAACATGCTCTGAAAGCAATTATTGAGTGGAAAAACGTTATCCTCTACTTTAAACCGGTCTGGAGAGAATTTTATGAATTCTTTCAGTGAGTTTTAAGTTCAGGAATGCAGTTTTATTTGAAACACACCTTTAAACATGTAGACTACATCTTTGGCAAGGCTTGCTTGTTATTTTCAAACAGTATGTCTAACAGTATATTAACAGTATATTTTTGTTGGTGTAGTAGATTACTTTCTTTCAGAAAGAAGACAGAAAATCATAATTAGTTTGGAGGACACATTTATGACAGATACTCATGAGTATGTATGAGTATTAACAGTTATGTACAGTAACAACAGAGACTGGATTTTCCTTTTCTTTTTTCTAGAAGAGAATCTTGAATAGCATCTTTGCTGTGCAAATGTGTTAGGTCTCATTTAATGTGTACTGTACTTTTACAGTATCTTTCTACAGTTTAGTAATTTCAATGTTTTCACAGATCTATTGATTCTTTTTCAATTGAGTGATTTGTTTTCCTTGTCTGTAAAAGGCCTTCCCTTCAGAAAAGGATGACAATATATTTTTGACATATGGAGATTGAAATATAATTTTAGAAATATATTTTTTCTATTTGTATTAATTATTACAAGTGTGTTTTATGTGATATCATTGATGGCAAATGGAAAACATTTTTAATTCTTCAGCTATTTGTTTTGAATAATACTGTTCAATCGGTTGTCTTTTAACGTTGATTCTGTATCAGTTTTTACTTTTCAAAGATGTTTTGTCTTCATTTTTTTTCTTTTTATTTCTATGCTTGATTTCTTCACTAGGTGATGTACTTCAGCTCCCTGTTTCCCTACGTGGTACTGATCTGCTTTCTTGTAAGAGCTCTTCTCCTGACAGGATCTGTAGATGGCATCCGTCACATGTTCACCCCCAAGGTGTGTGGCTTTTCAGAAATGTAACCCAACTTGACTTAAAGCATTTTTTCTTTCTTTCCATCACATTGTTCATCACTGAGGGGTGTGATTATCTATATTTATGTGATGCCCTACAGTATATTAATTAGTCATGCCAATTTACTTTTTTAATCTTTCCATTAATTGTCTATTTATGAAAACACATATCCCCAGTAATCTTTCTATTTGCATGTAAGATTTTCCTGGGAATTACTTTGTCCCTGGAGTTTTGAGAGCATTAAAGAGATAGAGTGAACCAGTTCTGACTTCACACTGAAGAATCAAGGGACAATCATTCCCAGATGTGTGCTTTTACTTCTGCCTCTTCTGGCACTGATGATGAATTAATTATCTACTTAATTAACTGGTAGAAAATTGTCAATTTCTTTTACTAAGTTGAAATTTATATTTTTAAAACATTCCATTGATATTAAACCTTTTTTAAAATAATGGTTTAACATCTGAAGACAAAGGTGAGTTGAATTTAAAGCAATGTATTTCAGGGCTTTAAAACTGGTGTTGAATTGTTTGCTTAAGTAAATGTGATACGGAATTTGTTTTGATAAAGGTTTAGATACACCTTGTGTTAAGAATCATATTTTCTCTTTGTTGTAGTATGCATACTAAACATATTATAGGTGTTTCAAGTATAGCAAGGTGTTTGAGTATAAAAATATCTTAAGCATAAAAAATATCTTCCAGAATTGTCTTATATGATATTGTTCCTTTTTTATCCTCTTTACATTATTGCCAATAGCTTGAGATAATGCTGGAGCCAAAGGTATGGCGTGAGGCAGCCACTCAGGTGTTCTTTGCACTTGGTCTTGGATTTGGAGGCGTCATTGCCTTCTCCAGCTACAACAAGCGGGACAACAACTGCCACTTTGATGCTGTGTTGGTGTCTTTCATAAACTTCTTTACTTCCATCCTGGCAACATTGGTGGTATTTGCTGTTCTTGGGTTCAAAGCAAACATCATGAATGAGAAATGTGTTGTCCAGTAAGTCATTTTTCCCCATTCACTCAATCTAAAGCCACCTTTTAATTTCCTGTTCTGCTTGATTTAATAAAGCCTGGTTTATCCTGCGGTTGTGAGACACACCATGTGACATTTGCCCCGGCATTTTGTTTTCTTAAACAAAAAGAAGTCTTAACATAACTTGACATCACAGACTTAGTCATACACACTTTATTTGATAGTTTCTAATATTTAACAGTTTCTTACGAATTTCATAATTTGAAAGATTGTGCTTTAAAATCAGAAAAGTATTATATTTTATAATTATTGAGCATCTGTTACTGACTAAATTTATCTTGAAAATGGAATGTTCAATTAATAGAAAACATGAAACAGTATTTTTCAGTATTTATAGTTATACAATTACTGTACAGATGTTTATTCAACTGTTTTGTGGGCTGGAGATCACATGATATCCATTGACATTTTTTTAATTAAGGTCAAATCTTTTTGTCAGAAGGAATTTCAGAATTAACATGCTCTTTCAAGTGTGTTTGGATAGCTCAGGCTCTAAATTAGATGTTACCATGTCTTGATGTTTTTTCATGTAGAATCTTTATCAAAATACTATTTTCCTGTTTTGGTAAAGGTAATCATAATTCAACAGGTTATCACTATGTAAATAGACACTAAATGATAAATAAGAGGTGTGCAGTGTTTTCCAGTTCTTCTCTCAGTGTTCAAAAGAACGGGAAAAGGAAATGTTCCTGTTTTGTACCAGAGTACACAGGAAACAATTGCTATCTGAACCTCTCATCCTTTTGTTTCACTATAAAACATTCTGGTTGCATTTGAAAAAAAAGTTTACAGAAGATGGGAATTTAATCCCAGCTCAAAACCCATGAAAAGTGACAGAATAACTTTCAAAATGAGTAAAAATATAAAGTAGGATCCAGTAAACATTAAGTTATTTAAAGTTATTGTAACATCAAGAACAGATACAGATTAAGGCATGGACTGAATTATTATTTCAATCAATTATCAGAAAGTTTGTAGTTTGTTTATTTTTCATGCACTAAACAATATTTGATTCTCTCCTTTTAAATACTACAGGAACACAGAAAAGATTGTAGCACTGCTTGGCAGTGGCATCCTAAGCAATAACCTGATTCCCCAGCACATCAATTTCAGCCATGTGTCTTCAGCTGACTATTATCAGATGATAGACATTATCAAAGGAGTAAAGGAAAATGACTATACCTCTCTGGGACTTGATTCATGCAGTATTGAGGATGAACTGAACAAGGTAAGGAATACTAGTTTCATTAAGTTTCAAGACCAAATTGAAACAAAATAATTCATACAAAATAAATATTGCGATGTTCACTCATATACAAATAAATGTCAATGTTATAATAAACCTTCCATGTGAGACAGTAACCTAATAAGAGAAAATAAGTAGTTTGATCAAATTCTAATTACAAAATTGTCAGTGTACTAAATCATTTGGAATTCAAGATCAGCAGTTTCATATCCCCCATAATTAGGAGGAATGAAGCAGAGATACAGCTACAAAGTTTTAGAGTTTTTGTCAACCAGCGAGTACTTTAATATAAGAGTGGATTTGCAATATAAGAATTTGATCTGTTAAATATCATAATTTCAGCAGTTTGGTCAAATTCTAATAGTGAATATTATTAATATAAATGAATATAAAGAGATGGAGTACTTTGATCTTAACTTACCTGGCTGAGCAAAAGACAGTAATGGCTGAAGATCATTACTGTCAAAAAAACTCAAAAGGATCCCCAAAACAGCAATGCAAATTTCTTTGAGCACAAAGATTAGAGTACATGAATTCAGCTGCAAAGTTTTGTATGAACCAATTTGAGAATTATGTTGGCTTTTATATATAGTATAGCGAACAAACAGTACCTAGCTTGAAATTAAAACTGATGATATGATCCAGAGGGGTAGCTAGAGCTAAATTGTGCTGATGCAAAAGTAGGATAGGAATATGTAGTTAGTGATCACTTGTGACATTTGCTAGAACTAAATGAAGGAGGATGGTTTCCTACTGGAACTCCCAAAGGAATAAGAAATATCCAATATGTTTGCAGTTGGTTGCTTGGGGTGGGGAGACTTAAGGGCTGACACTGCACCAGTTGGACACCAGTGGAGCAGGGGGTAACACCATAGCAGCCAGGGCCATCACTGGGAACAAATGGTGAGGGCTACAAACAACGAGGCCTAGGCCCAGTGCAGACTGATACCATCGAATATAGACTGGGTCTATAGGTGCAGTGGGGAAGATGCTTTAATGAGAAAGGAAGAGAAAAAATGTGGAGGATGGAGTTAGTGGGTTTAGGAGAAGAGAGCAGGAGGGAAAATCAGATGACCACAGTCGATTGGAATTCCAGCTAGGGTTGACGCCACAAGGACCACAGAGAGAAAATGGCAGGCAGCATGTAGGTGTGGGCACCCATTTGTTTTCCATGGAGGATTTTAGGTTGATGAGCTGCTTAGTTAAAATGAAGTGAGGTGACTCCCGGCCTGGCTTGGAGGAGGCGAAACAAAGGTTGTCTCTTTTAAAGGCGTCTGTTTCTGATGATACAGAGAGCTAGTAAAGATGCATACACAGGTCTTTAAGTATACCGTTTGTAGGGGAGTGGACGTGTGATGGAATTTGACGAACTCATGGTTAAATAACACCATTTTGTAAGATGAAACAAATATTTTTCAGCAGTGATATTTTTATTTTGATGAGGAAGATGCCTTCCCTCAATTTGGTGCTGAATCTCCAGTATAGGGCTGTGTTGCCTGATGTGTTAAAAGACAATTGACACAAAGATAGGCAGGTTGGAGTGGTCTGCCTAAACTTATTCATTCTCCTATTTGTCTGGGTGCAGGTATATAGCTCAGAGACAAGACATAAACAATTGCCTATCCAATATTTGGTGGTTATAACAAATTAAGTGGTGATTCTAATTTTATAGAAAATGTTTTTTTACATTACACAGCAGAGAGTGTTTTATGATAACTTAAAGGAATATTGAACTGATTGTGGCATTATACAGTATGTCATTTTCAAAATTACTTATAATGTTTACTGTTTAATTGCTATTAAATAATTGATATTAAACTGTTTACATTGTTTTGTTATTCTGAGGTTACATTAATTAGAAATGTAATACCCATTCTTTCGTCAGATGTCTATTTTTAATTTCTGGCTCGCAGCTAAATTAGTTTTCCACTGTCTTTACTATGTTCAGATGGGGCATGAATAATTGACAGCATATTCACTTCAAAAGAAACACAGTTCCTGTGTGAACTGAGTACAATATACACTTACTATTTCTAAACAGATTTTCATGTGTGCTTATAAAGGAGGGAATTTTCTGTAACGTTTTTTTTTTAAGATATTTGGACTGTTCTAATCTTTTAGCACAGGAAGAGTTCACAGTTATGTTTTCAGCATGTACAGTACAAAACATCTTATCACAAGTGTCATACAAAAATCTAAATTTATGTGGAAAGTTCGTTTTACATATTAATTTACTGGTTAAATTGCAATGAAACTTTGTATTTTCTGCACAGGTTTTAAGGGTGAATGGCAAACACTATTAAGAAGTGCTAGAAAACAATCATTGTTTGCAAACATATAGTAAAAGAGAACAGGAGAATGTGACAGAACAAACAGCAGAACACAAGTAATACACACATGCTTTCCACAAACCCACATTTCCTCAAACTCCCTGAATGCAAGACGTGTCTCCTATTAATTTGCCCTTGGGAGCTGTAACATCTCAAGGAGAGGGGGCCAGTGGGAGCTGAACATATTTGCCCCATGTAGAGAGAGTTCAGACATTTTTATCCAACCACACGTGGGTGCACAGTCTCTCTAGATGCTGAACCCCCAGGGCATGACGACTGCTGCACTGCAGCACCCCTCTGTTCTCACACATGCAAATTTCCATGTGTACAGAAAATGTCCTTCTTTAAGTCTTCAGGGCTCCAAATGCTTTGGCACTCCTTTCACAGGTGAAAAGACTGACATTGTGTGCAAAGAGAAGATAATGCGTTACTTGGACAGGTGCTCAGTATAGCAACAGATTTAGCTTCCTTTCACTTGGTGAACAATTTAAAGATGAAAACTTTTTTCTGTGGTTTACAGGCAGTCCAAGGCACAGGCTTAGCTTTCATTGCCTTCACTGAGGCCATGACTCATTTTCCCGCTTCTCCATTCTGGTCAGTTATGTTCTTTCTCATGCTTGTCAACTTGGGTCTTGGAAGCATGTTTGGGACCATTGAAGGGATTATTACTCCCATTGTAGACACATTCAAAGTGCGAAAGGAGTTCCTAACAGGTGAGTGTGAGGTATTCTAAGAAAACAATTTAATTGCACAAGTATTTTTTTTATTCTCCCAGAACAAAATCAGTCTAGTATGTACTAGTATTACTAATATGTACTTTAATATGTATATGGATTTCAGGTCTGCAACAGTATTTCTTAAAAAAATCTAGGTCACATCAATAAATGCTTCATCTGCACATACAGTACTGTATATCAGAAAAGATATAGTTTAATCTGACCTCGTTATTTCTTATTCAGTTTTTCTATAGCTGTTCGGCTTCTTTTCAATTACACATAATTCACTGTAATTCTGGAAATCAAGATGTCTTTAATACTCCCTGTGATTTTGTGTTGTCACAGAAGATTAAAACTATTATCTACAGGAGCAAATATCATGCAAATGCAAATGCAGTAAAAGGTACTGTATTATTGTATGTATAGGGACAAATGCTTTTTTTGTGGTCCAGCCTCACAAACCCTAAGAGACACTAATCAGATCCTTACAGAAATAAATGTTTCAAGTACATATCTACTTTGTTTATTTGACAATAGCATTATAGAATCTAGGCCCAATTTTATTTTCCTACTCCTCTGCTTGTATTATAACACAGCAATAAATGAGAATCCATCAACAATGTAATGTCCCACTTTGAAAATAAAGCCGTTAGTCTCTTGAATTTGATACTTGTTTCCCTGTTAATATCTCATAATGGAACACAGTCAGGTAGGTAAAAAATTGATATTTATTATGTGGGACATTAAAATACCTAAAATGATTAAATTAAACTAATTTGACCCTTTTCACATTAGAAACAATTTCTTAGACTTGATTCTTCATGTATATTTTGTCAATGAAACAACGACAAGGAGTCACCAATCCAAAGTTTTGTCTATTAAATTATTGCTGTGTTAGCTAATTATAACCATGTTCAAATATTATTTTTTCCCCATGTGGGTCAATTTCCAAAGAATGCAAAACACTAAATATGTAATTTTGCACTGAGTGTTTCTTCTCCCTTTCTTTCCAGTTGGATGCTGTCTCTTGGCTTTTAGTATTGGCCTTATCTTTGTTCAGCGTTCTGGGAATTATTTTGTAGCTATGTTCGATGACTACTCTGCCACCTTGCCACTTCTTATTGTCGTCATCCTGGAGAACATGGCAGTAGCATGGATCTATGGAACAGACAAGTATGTTCTCTGCAGCTAAAATTTTGTTATGATCCTGCCTAATACAGTATATCTGGATTGGTTGTATTTACATTCATATGGCCCTACTATATATAGAATCATATATCCCTTCCTCTCACTGAAACAAAAGAACACTCACAACTCAAAGCCATTTGGATGACTCAGGGGAGCCTATTTTTCTTTTATATTTTGATATAAATCATGTACATACAGTCAATTATATGTACACAGAAATTGTGAAAACCTCTAGTCAATTAAGTGGAAATGACTGCTGTACTAAATGTGTATTTTACACGAGAGTTGTAAAAAAGGAAGAAAACGACTTGCTTTAGGCAGTGAAAGGGTTAAATAATGGTATTAAATAGTATTTGCATGGAAAGGGTTGACATTTTTTGGGACCTAGAAGCATGATTACCAAATCTGGTAGATTAATATATCTCCAGGACCATATACCTGTAGTATTGTTACAAATAAGGGGTTACAAAAATGCAAAATATCAGGAACTGACAGAGAGGATTAGTCAATAATAAAATAAAGTATCATAACCCCCAACTTGTAAATGATTTGTCCAGAATAAGCAGTTATTATTAGAGGTACAGTAAGTGAATTATTTGTTCTCTGGCATAACTTTGATGAGAAGAGTAATACTCCATGCACACTTGGTTAAACAAATATTTATTATCAATGACACTGACACATGCTACACTACACACAACATAAACATACAGTACAACACACAAGTTACTCTTTACAGTATACAGTATGCACAGACAAGGTGATGCAGAGGCCTAACATCTTAATCATCCAGAAATTACAGACTGCTACCAAGTGTTCAACTCCCAAGCAAAGCCTACAAAGGCTGAAATAAGAGATACAGTATGCCTTCTAAACTAAATGCAATTCAACCTGCAATTTAAAGATGGAAACTTTTTTCTGTGGTTTACAGGCAGTCCAAGGCACAGGCTTAGTTTTCATTGCCTTCACTGAGGCCATGACTCACTTCCCTGCTTCTCCATTCTGGTCAGTTATATTCTGTCTCTCTCTGCAAACCCGAATGCCACAAAATAAATTGGAGCCTATCTCCCTATTCTAAAAATGCATCCTTAACAGGAAAGGCCATCTTTGACATATTCTTAACTCAGACACCCCAAGTTCTCTAAAACACCGAATAGCAAATTTTTTCTAGCAAGGTTTAAATATTTAGCTCCAATAGGGTTTGGTTCGGATGATCATGAAGTTTGGTCTCTCACCTGGCACAGTACTCTTTTCCTCTCTCTCTTATGGTCTGACCTTCGTTTCCCCTCTTTCTCTCTCCTTACTCTCCTTTCTCTGTAGTGATCTGATCTTATATGGTGTCTTTCTGGACTGTTGATTGACACTTAATCATTTACCCAGAATTTAATTAACTAAGGTAAACCAGAAGATTCTTTTGATCAGTTTCTCACACCCAGCACAACTACTGTAAATAAACATCTCTTGGTTAGAAGCTCTAGGAATTAGAAATATTGACACTAGTTTGGTATTTCCCATTGTGTTTTGATTTTTAGAGACCTCCATTGTCATCTACCTCAGCCTGTAACAGTATTTTACCTTTTGTACTTAAAAAACAGTACAAAAAACAATTATTTAAAAACCATTGACACCACTCTTCCATATGTTGCTGAAGACATGACGCAAATAATTTCTGATAATGTGCCAATCCATTTAAAATGGTGTCAGAACTACATAATTTAAGACAAATATGGTCATAAAAAAGACTTTTATTACATTCAGGGAAACATATGGATTTATATACTGATTGTATATAACAGATAAGGAATGATGTAATATGGCTGGGAGCCACAAGAACCTATTTTAGGACCAGTGTTCTTTCTAATTTATGTAAGTGATATAGATTCTGTTAGAGGTAGTAAACCAGTCAATTTTCAAGCGATACCAAATTTGGAGAACAAACACTGCTGGAGCTTCAAATGAAATAAAAAAAAAGATTAAGATAAAATTCAAGACTGGGATAAGCCTGGCAGGTTTTATAAATGTGAATAAGTGCAAAACAAACTATTGATACAAACTGGGAAACTGAGAGTTTGAAGAAGCTACTTATGAAAAAAAAACTACTAGGAAATACGAAGCAATAAAAAAAGTTTCTAGGATATATAGTTATCATTCTTAAAGTCAACCCAGTAGAGTTCTTCCAAAGCAATTGTAAAACTTTAGTGTAAATTGCATTCAAATGCACTTAAAACCAAGAACAGGAGCACTTTACACAAAGGGTTGCGGAAGTATGGAAAGAGACATACTACTCTGTATTTTTCTAGGTTTTCTGAATGCAGGAAGTCCTCTATCACCAGTGTAGTCTTAATATTGGTATTTTTGTAATTTGAGTAAAATATTCTTTGTTTTGCATTTTTACAGATTTTTTGAAGATCTTAAAGACATGCTTGGATTTTCCCCATTCAAATTTTACTACTACATGTGGAAGTATGTTTCTCCCCTAGTTTTACTTGCCTTGCTTGTAGCAAGTATAATTCAGCTGGTAATGACCCCTCCAAGTTACAGCGCTTGGATAGGAGAGCTGGTAAGTTCTGATCAGAATGCTATTGTCAGTACCATAAATTGTGTTAAATTACAAGCATCCACCTTTTTTTGTTTTTTATAGTAAGAAAAAAAACTGTCTAGTACAGGGGCTCCTCATCTGTTGTCCTGTTTTTTTTTTGTTATTTTGTTATGTCACATACACATGCTCTTTTATTAACCCTGAATTATTAGCATTAAAATGGAAAGGAATTTGTGCCCAAGGTAGTAAAAGTATATTTTTCCATTCCATTTGTACTTCATAATTGTATTCAATATACTGTACATTTAAACTGGGTTATACAGAGTGAAAACCAAAAAGAGCTGCCACTTTTTCTCAGAAATCGGCATCAATATACATTGTAATACCCAGTATTACCCACTACAGTTTATTTTGAGTGCAGTATCTGGTGCACAAGCACAACAAAAACAATGATTCAAATCCGGGTTGCAACATTTCTTTTCTGTCTATAGCACACCAGTTGTAACCTGACAAAACACAGGCTTTTTTTTAATTGTAGAATTGTGGAATGCATTGCTGATACAATATTGAATAATGACCATATCAGCAGAAGGAAGGGACAGAAAAAAATCTGAAAAGTAGTAACTTTTTAGACTGGTATTCTCTGCACATACTTCAAGTATCTTTCCATTTCTGTTGTTGACATGTAACGTGCAGACACATGTGACATCTCCATTGAGTGCAGTTGCATTTTCCTTTCATTTGGGTTAAAAGTTAAGCAGCTGCAACCTAACACAGCCATATCAAAAAGATTGAAAATACATTTTTGTATGGCCTAAGAGGCCTTATTTTTCAAACAGACGGTTTTGCTTGTATGCGAACATCATGACTATTTGTTTCTGTTGTAAAGATGGATTTTTCTCACATAACTGATAAAAAGCTGTTAGAAGGATACAAAGTTTCAGTGTACCCTTTCATTGGTCTATGTTTTGTGGATTTTCAATGTATATACTGTAGTCAAGGAGTTTTGCAAGTCCGGCAATTGTAAGTAGTAGCATAAAAAAAAGTTTTGTTTGTGTGAGTTACTTTAGTGTGACATCATGCTGAAACATGTCGTAACAGAATCTGTAAAATAGACAACAGACATACCGAAAACTGCTGAAGGGTTAAAAAAATACCAGTGCTCTTTATTTTACAGAAGTGTGGAAAATCAAAATTGACCCCAAACGAATACCAAAGCTCCATTTAAGCTACAGTACTGACTAAACTACTCCAAAAAGTCTCTCAATGTCATATTGGGCAACTGAGCTGATCACTCTGCAAATATTAGTTCCAGTCTCACCATGAGACTTCACAATATAACCACTTCCAAAATTCACAAACCTCCCTTTGTCCTTCGGTCAGCTGCTTCTTTCGCCCATCCCTCGGGTGAGTGTGAACTGCAGAGGATTTGGACTCTGCTGCCATACAGGAGACTGACCAATCCAGAAAGCTTCCACTTCCTGCTTTTTAAACTGTCTCCTATCCAATTGTTTTCAAGTAACTGGTCAGGTGACTGAGAGCTACAGCTTATTTCCCCAGGGATTTCTGGGGAATGTGGTCCAGACAAGGATTTACTCTCACAGTACATGAATAATATAGATGTTAGGCATATCAGATTTAAGGGACATATAAAATGACAGCCTAGAACCTAACCCACCCATATTCCGTTATTTCAATGTCTTTCTTTATTTCATTATTATTACTGCTTCTGTTAACTAAAGAAGAACAAGTTTTACTGTCTGAAATAGCTTATTTATTACAACATCTTACCCTGTATGAATTTCATTTAACGAAATCTACTGTATATTCAAACCGCAAAAGTAAAATAGACCTTAGAGGTGAAAGCTATCTAATCATAAAAGAAAGTCCTGAGTAAAATAAATATGTTACATATGCAGAACTAAAGGATTTTTTTCCCAGTAGCTCCAGAATAACCATAATATTGAAGAGTTAAATGTGTGAGCAATATAAGATAAGGATTTTCCTTTGACCTACTTGGCTGAGAAGATAACAGCCTAGTCATAATTTTCAGAAACCTTCATCTTGATGTAATGAGTCTAGGAGCTGCTGCAAGGGCAATTACAGCAATAAAGAAGGGATGCCAAATAATGAATGCTGAGAAAAGGATGACTGTTACCCATATTTATACTTAGATAGGCATGGAAGCCTTTCAGACTTTGATTTCAGTTCTAAACCTGTTTATACATTCATTTTTTTTAGGCTAAAGAGAAATCTCTCAGCTACCCACCATGGGGCCTGGCTGTGTGTGTTTCATTGGTTGTCATGGCAATTCTTCCTGTTCCTGTTGTCTTCGTTCTTCGTTACTTCAACCTCGTTGAGGAAGGCTCCAGCAGCCTGTCATCTGTATCTTACAAGAAAGGAAGGATCATAAAGGAGAATGCCAGTCCTGAAGATGATGACACAAGTCTAATCCATGGAAAAAGTCCCAGTGAGATGCCTTCCCCAATGCCTGGCAAAAGTATCTACAGAAAGCACAGTGGCTCCCCAACAATAGATATGGATACTGCTCCCAATGGCCGCTATGGAATCGGGTATCTCATGGCTGACATGCCAGACATGCCAGAGTCGGACTTGTAGTTCTTCCATAAAGAAAGAAAAGACAAACAACTTTACTAAGCATATTGTATGTATATAAGCGTGCACTTACAGTAGCTGTCTGTAAACATCTGCATATAATAACTGTATATCTTGTAGATAATTTAGCACTTGTTATGTGTGTGCACTAATTTCCTTGTCTCTCATAAATACCGAAGAGTTACTAGTTTTGCTAAAGAATGGCTGTATATAGTGATTTTGCCGCAGATATGCCAGGCATCGCACAACTGAACACAAAAAAGCAAGTTTGGTTTAGAACGCACAGCAGTAAGATAAGATACGAAGCAAGGACTCTGGTTTTATTATTTCTTTTTTGTGTAATTACAAAACATTGTCAAAGGTAAAGGATGATAAATTCAACTGATTGTTCTCAAAAAATGTGTGCCTAACAACTTCTGATATTTATTGTTTATAGAATACTTAGTGGACTTAGTATATTTATATGGTATTCTGTAAATATATATATATATTTATCTGAATTGTTTGCAATTCAAGTTGTTTTTGTCAGAAGTACTGAGAATGTAAATTGTCAGTCTCTTTTGTTAATGTGCTGTTGCTGTAAAGCATATTTCTTATTCCTGTAGAAAATACTTTTCTCCCAGTAAATTGCTTAAAAGCACCTTTTCTTGAAGTGAGGTTAATATCAAATATATATTGGCATTTATTTTTCAGTAACTCCTTTTAAATATATCTATAAAAATTGTAGAGAGGCTATTCTGTAAAAATCAAGATCATTATAGAACTAGTAAAAAATAGGGTGTTGACACCAACCCAGAGATGGAGAAAGTAATAGCATGAGAGAATATTCAAGATAAAATGCTAACTAGATTTATTGACTCAAAGGAAAATTATGAAATAATTCACATTTGAAATACAGGATGTACTATTTAGGCTCATCTACACTGCTTGGTAAAAGTATTCAGCAACTTCTGATATTTATTGTTTATAGAATAGAATCCCTATGGTGTCCCAATTTTTTAAATTAGAAAATGATGCATACACACTTTTTAAACGTAATAATCTTACAGAATAGCTCAGAGTACTAATTCTGTCCAAAACTAGAAAAGATAAACAGTTGTTTAGTTACTATACAACATAGCACTTGCCAGGGTCCTAGTTGTAGATCTAGAAAATCCAGAATTCTGCTCCTGTAACCCAACAAAACACAACAAAACCCCTTAAACATGCCAACAAAAGAAAATCTACATCCTAGGAAAACATTCCTACCCAAGACTATATCTTCCTTTCTAAAACATGTATGCTCACAGGTGAATGGGAACCATGTTTTCCTATTCAAAAATAGGATATATTTTTACCCTAAGGATTCCACAATACAGGACATCATAATTTCCTCAAATAAATGACACCAACCTCTCTCGCAATATTGTTTTGATTACGTACTGTAGACATAATCTGGTTAGGATCTGTCCAGTCAAAGAGTTGGAGTTGATGAATGATGAGTGATGAGATCTGTTCTTCCTTCCTGTTCTTATTATCTCCTCTACTTTTTCCTTTTCTTCTCCTATATTTATGCTGTCTTTGGTAAATGTCAGCAAAAACCAAGTAGAAAACTTGAAATATGTTTATTTTATTGGTATTCAGACCCCTGACCTCAATATTTGCAGGATACACCATAGGCAGCAATTACAGCCTCAGATATTTTTGGGTAATCTCTATTGTATGCACATCAGCATAGTGTAACTTTTGTCCATTCTTCTTGACAGATTTGCTTAAGCTCTCAAGCTGTTTGCGGACCACTTACTGACAACAGGTTTAAGTGTTTCTATGAATTCTCAACAGGATTAAAGTCAGGTTTTTGAGTTGGCCACTCAAGCACATCCACTTATAATATTCCAGTTTAGGTTTGGCCTTGTGCTGTGGAACACTGGTCCTGCTAAAATGTAACGTTTTGTCCAATTTTTAGATTTAATATGGATTTTTGATTTGCCAGCACATCAACATTTTTTTGCTTCATCTATTTTCCCATCAGTCTTGACAAGCTTCCAAGTCCCTGTTGGTGAGAAACAGAATTATAACCATAATGCTTCCAACACCATGCTTGACAGTAGGTATGGTGTTTACTGAGTGATGAACTGTGTTGGATAAGCATTGGATGCATTTGGACCAGACAGTTTTGTCTCACTGACCACAAAAGCTTTTGCCATATGTTTGCAGTATCACTGGCAGTACATACTTTGTTGCAAACCTCACACAGTATTTGAGATATTCTTTAGTTCATTAGAAGTCCCTTTGTGGGGTGACCACGATATTGTTGACCCATAAACATTTTCCCCCATCTCAGCCACAGACTCTGTAACTCTAAGGCATCATTGAGTGGCTCTAAGGCAGCACCCCTAACCAGTTAGCTGCTCAGATTGGAAGGACAGCCTGATATAAGTAGTGTCTAGGTACCTTCTTAATTTTCTCACTTCTTAATATAATTAAATAATTGAGTTCACCATGCTCAAAGAGATATTAAGGATGTCTGAAATGCTATAATGCCCTTCTTTTGATCATTGCCTTTCTACAATTTTATCCCCAATTATTTTTGAAAGCTTCTTGGTATTCATGGTTGAATCTTTATTAGAAATTCTTTACCTACCACTACTACTAATGATATCTGTATTTGTTTTGAAACATACTGCATTAACATAGCTGCTTAGTTTTAATCCTGATACAGTAATTTAATCCTGATTGATCAGTACTTTTCTGAAGAAAAATAGCCTTTTATCATCATGGATGTGCAGAAAGCGAAAATGAATTAATGATAATGGACACCTGACAAATAGATCTAATATTTAAATGTGATTAATTAGCTGCTACAAATCTTCATACAGGTGGCAAGTGTAGTAGAAATGTTATCACAATTTTGAAAATTTGAAAATCCACCTCAATGTAAATCAAAGATTGTTAACTGACAAACTTGGTACTGTACAGTATATTACATTAGTGTATTTGCAGTATGATGGAAGAGGGGGAGGATTAACACTGTATACCTAAATTTGAGCACAGAATTAAATCTAAATAATGTCCCCTGCATCACTGAGAATGATCTAGAATTATTCTAATTAGGATTGTTTGAGGCCCCAAAAAACAAGAATGTACATAAAAAATGCAATGATAGTACTTAATTGCAAGGCCATATTGAATATCATAAATGAAAAATTATATTACCAAACAAATCGTAATTGCCAAAATACAATAAACTGCCAATGTGTTGTGGCTAATAATCTTCTTTAGGATGTGTTGCCAATTACATCTATTGTATGTTAGTGCAGTTACATTAAGATTTATGCAATTCATTATTGATAAAGACAAAAATAAATGATTGCTAAAATGTCATCAAATATATTCATTATGTAGACTTATCACATGATAATTTGTGTACACTCAAAATTTTCAAAATTTACAAATAGGGAAATCTAAATCATTGTATAACCAAATCCAAATTACCAGTACAAATAACATAATTCAATTGATCAACTTTCTCTTTTTGTAAAGGAGCTAGACTATAGTACATGTGCAGCACTGCAATTGATAAAACTGTCAATCTCATAAGAGGTTCAAGAAAATATTTAACCTACTGTACCACACATTTTCACATCAGTAGAAAATAGATGACAAGACCTTTTAGATACTCTGACACAAAATAGATTTATTTCACAAGTAAATCAAATTAAGAAAGCAGAGGAGCACAAACTGTAGTAGAACAAGTCAATTAAGAATAATTTGCTGAGGAAAAATACAGTAAAAAATATTGAAAAAAGATCAGGATTCAGTTAAAGAAAATGAGTACAGGGAATTACAAGTACAGATTAAAAACTTGTTCCACCTGGTCCCCTGCAAATCCTTGTAACTCAAAGCATACTCCTAATCCTCCTAAACGTGGGCGGTATACCCATCATAAACAAGGAGGGGCTTGTGTACCATGTGAATCCCAGCAAGACGTTCAACTCCAGCTCAGGGTCCTAGCCCCCAAGTACAGTTAAACAGGTGGTAAAATGGAATCATATCTTTGTTCAACCAAGTGTGCAGCCAGAAACACATTAACCCAGCTAAAAGCACATTACAGTTTGTTACACCAGAGGCTTTCTAGGTTTTTAGGGAAGATGTTCATTTTCCAGGGTCTAGGACCCTGTTATGTTTTACCGTGGAATTATCGTGGTAAAACATAGATTGGCATAGATTTCCACACAGAGCTGTTCAGTTGTTGTGTAAGATGATCTGATCTTAAGCATTGGTTTGATAGTTCAAACAAATATTTGAGTTTGATGTCAGGAGAAGGGTTCACTAAAGGGATTGCATTGCTTAAGCATATTATTAGAAAGAGAGTACAAGAAATATTGCAATGGAGGCATAAATAATTTGTATTCCAGTATTAATGTCAAAGGCTTAAAACTTAGAAAACACAAAGACTTGTATTCAATAACAGAGGAGACAGAAGCCTTACATAAAAGCACCTTAATAAAAGTACTTAAGCTAAATCTTCAGGACCCAATGATTTTGTAGAAACAAGAGGTGTTTATCATAGGCCATTTATAAATCTCTTCCTGTGGTCTGTCAAGATGGGTGTAAAACTTGCTGACTGAAAAACAGCTAATATAATTCCCATAAAAAAAAATTCAAAGCAGTAAATATAGACAAATGTCTAACATGTAAGTTTATGAAAACAATAAGAACAGTGCTATAAGGTTAGCTGCATGGCAATAGGGTTGTAATGAATTGTCAATATGAATTTAGAAAATGTACAGTAGGCCTTGATTAATTTGTTTGAGATCTTTGAAGAAGCAACAACAGTAATGGATACAACCAGACTGTATGACAATGTATATTTAGATTTTCAGAAGACATTTAATAAAGTTTTTCATTAATTCTCAAATCCCAGGTGATTTGATGATAATGCATCACTTTTTTTAGAATGAGATAATTTGTTAATGGACAAGAAACAGAGGGAACTGATAAAGGATGGATGCTCAAATTAGGGGTAATTGGTGGTGTAACACAGGGATCTTAATTAGGACAACTGTTCTTCCTAACATGTATACTGTATATATCAATAATCCAGATTCAACTATAGAAAACACATTTGAATAAGAAAATAACCATAAGAATATTAATGTGGACACCAGGGTACTACATGTACTGTATGTACTAAAAATCCAAATCAAATATATAAAATTAATAACACCAAGCATGATAAGGTTACTTATAAGACTTAGGTATTTATACTGTTACACACAGGGGTTAAACAACCTACAGTACAACATACTGTACAAGTTACTTTATTTACAAACAAGGCATCCCAGAGGCCTATGCTCTGATCAACCGGAACAACCCAAGACTACTACCAAGTATTCAAAGATCTCATATAATCCTTACACAGGCCAACAAGAGACATACTGTAAACATACCTTGTAAACTAAACAGAATATGACCTACCGTACAGTTAAGTTTCTATCTAAAGCTGGATGCTACAAAGTGAATGGGAAACCTATCTCACTATCCTAAAAATGCACCCACTAACCAAGAGAGACCATTTTTAACAGTTTTTAACCTACAGTAGGGATTCTTTATACAGGAAATCAGAGTTTCCTAAAAACTATAGGTTGGCAAGATCTCTCAACAAGGGTTTTTGTACTATTT